TTGCCTTGAATTGACGCTGACATTTGTGAAGAAATTGTGACGGAAAAATATATTCTATAGGTAGCTTGAAGTGCTTATTCAAGAGAAAGAACTTTTGACTATCATTGAGTGTCATCATCGCCATACTCAATTCTTCATAATTCATTGTAGCATTCAATATTTTACCAACATCATTGGTGAAAGCGAGAGGTTCAGAATCTGATTGTTTGGTAGTACGAGATATTTTAGCGGGAGGACTATCAATAGAATCATGTTGTTTAGAAATTGCGGAATTTGTATTTCGTACATTTTCATTGAAAGGATGATTATGATTTTCAAGTTGTTTTTTTGTACACCATCCATCTAGAGATTGACAAGTTTTAGTTGCTGATATTCGTTTTCTTTCATTTTGCTCTTCGCGCCCGATAGTATTTGAAGAGTCACTGAGAGTGGTCCAGGAAAGTTATTTTCGGAAAAAGAAACAGAATCAATATATATGGAAATGCACTCTATATATGTTTTTTGCATAAAGAAATATGGATTTCAACACATTAAAAGTCTTTTTCTGTGTGATTGATATTTACCACACAGAAATGAACAAAATCGCAAAACATGATTATTTTAATAACTATTTCATAAGAAATTAGTTCACTCAAAAACAATAGTTCTATTTACAAATTGACTTTTCTTTTGAAATTATGTAAAGAGAGGAACTGTACCACAGATGCAGTTTTTCATATTATTCACTACATTCAAGAATCCATTTTGAATAAAAAAAAAACTTAATAATGTATGTAATTTCTTGCATATGGTGGATTATAATGGGCCGTGTATGGTTATAGACGCAAAGAAATCTAAAGATATACGTAGTACACAAGAATGTACTCTAAATATCAAAATTGGATATAGAATCCAGCAGGAAAAAAAAGGTCTTAAAGAGAAATGTTTCGGATATATGTTTATTCTACTTGCAGAAATGTCATAATGCTTCTTTTTTAAAATAATTTTTTTATTATATATTTGAATATACATATTTGCAATTTCTGATAATTATAACTATGTAAATTTTAAAAAAATGAAATTATAAATATATCATACACTAATAATAGCAATGTAAATATAAAAATGAAAATATATTATCAGATAAAATAATATAAAAATTAAACTATAAAAAATATATGTCCTAAAAAACAATAAAATGCTACAAGAGCTTCAGTACATACATTCACTGATTTAGGGAGAGCCCGCATACATAATAATAAACAATATTTGCAATAATAAACAATGAAAATATACGGAATAAATAAAAAAGGACATCTTAGTATATTAGATGAGAAATAATTGATGTGGTAATCGAAACGTATAATATTAAAAGTATTATATAAAGAAAATTTAAAGAAAACAAATTAATTAATCTACGATAGCGCCTGGTTACGGTAATAAGCATACGCGAAACTAAAAACAAAATTGTTGTCAAGAAAAATTGTACGAACGTTAATGAAGACATTATAGTGTTCATAACGACAAGACTTAGCGACGTCAAAAATGTATAGTACCATAGAATAGAAAAATCTAATCAATATGAAACGAAAAACGTATGCTGCAATGGCGTACCTACGGAGGAGGGGGGGGGGAAGGGGGCGGGGCTCACCACCCCAAGTGTCATCCACTTTTGGGTGACACCCAATTTATTTATATCTTTTATTTTATTTTGGTTTATAATTAAACAGTCTTACATAAAAAAATAAGTGGGTATTTACTTACACGACCTACGAAATGATGAATGCTGAAAGATATAGTTATCATTATTTAGAAAATATAATCGCTTAGCTTTCTTATTATTGTCAAAAACAAGGTTTAAAATTACATGTGTCAACGTTTCTAAATACTGCTTTAATAATTTCGTATATAAAAATGATTACATATAATATATGGGTGACACCCTATTTGCCACCCCGGGTAACACCATAACTAGGAACGCCACTGGTATGCTTTATGCAGTAGAAGGTGCAATTTTTCCTATAAAAAATTTACAGGGTTATGCAAAATTATAAAGTGCTTTAAGCAAAATTATAAAGTGCTTTATGCAAAATTATAAATTGCTTTATGCAAAATTATAAAGTCCTTTATTTAACAATAAATAAATGCCATTATAAAGTACAGGTCATTTTCAGAATCATCTAAGAATGCATAGGAATTTAAATACAATATTAAATTGTAATTAAAAATTAAATGACTAACTGGCTGAAAAACATAAACCAAATCAGTAACGTTTTTATCTAATTAATGCAAGTTTTTTAAATTAATGTTAAAAAATAAAAATTTAAAACCTTAGATGGCAAGAAAAAGTCGAATAACGATAACTAAGGAAATTCATGAAACAATTATAAACATGTCTAATTCAATAAATAATCATTCAACCAAAAGCCGAAACTTTAAACATTAGCCAAAGTGCTGTAAGAAACTGCATAAGAAATTATCAAGAAGGCATCAAATTTGCTACTAAGGGAGAACACCACAAGCAAACAATCAAAAACAAAAATTTGTTGTTCAGTGAAATCGAAAATACTTTATTTAATACGATAGCAATAAATAATGAACTGACACAAAATGAAATGGTAAATGAAGTTAATGCAGCAACCGGTATGGTAATATCTCAATCAACAGTATCAAGGAAATTGCGGAAAATAAATACAACGCGAAAAAGGCTTTCATTGATTCCCGAAGAACGAAATTCCCCAGCAAATATTGAGAAAAGGGCCATATATGCCCGCCGTATCTCGCGTATTTCTAGTGATAAATTTGTCTTTTTAGACGAATCAGGATTTAATCAGCATTTGAGAAGGCGATATGGGTATTCCCAAAAAAATGAAAAGACATATTCCATTGTTTCCGGAAACAGAAATAAAAATCGAAGTTTGATGTGTGCAATAAATATTTCTGGTGTGGTTGCTTATGAATTAAGAACCTGAGCTTATAATGCTGAAAGCTTTGAAAGATTTATAAGAAATAACCTGTGTAATTATTTCCGAAAAAACCCAGACAATATACTGATAATGAATAATGTTCCATTTCACAGATCAAGAAGTATTATAGAAGTTTTAAATGAATTAAGAATAAATAGAGAATATTTACCGGTATGGTCTCCTCAAATAAATCCCATTGAAGAATTTTTAAGCATGATAAAGGCAAGATATCGCGGAATAAAAGTTTTAAATAATGAAATTAATATTAGAGATGCATTGGAAATAATTTTTAATCGAATGTGTGAAATTAACGAAGAATTAAGTGGATTTTGGAGATCAATGGAACGATGGTTGGAAAAAGCTAAACAAAACATGATTTTTGAATAAAGTAGTTGCTTAAATTAATATAATTTTTTTGAAGTCTAAATGTTAAATGACATGAGCTCATATATAAATAAATCATATATTCCAACTTTTTTATGCTTTAAATGGATTTATTAAACGGTTCGAAATTTTGCATAAAGCACTTTATAATTTTGCATAAAGCACTTTATAATTTTGCATAAAGCACTTTATAATTTTGCATAAAACAGTTTATAATTTTGCATAAAGCACTTTATAATTTTGCATAAGCCTGTAATATTATGTAAAATATGGACCTTTCGAAAAGGTAGGGGGGTGGGTGGGTGGAGGGGGGTAGGGGATGGGGGTGCGTACGCACCCTAGGTGTACGCACACCCCTGCGTACGGGCCTGACTGTCATAAGATTTTTAGGCTTGTTAACTATTACAGTCGTCTCTCGATATCTCGAATACTTGATATCTCGAACTTTTTTAGCGGTCCCATGGACATAACGTACTAGTTTAGGCTAAAATCCTTTCGATATCTCAAACCTTAATATCTTGAACTTTTTGGTATCTCGAACAATATTTTCGGTCCACAGGGCAATTTTCTCTCGTTATCTAGAACTTTTCAACATTTTTTTTTTTCAATAATGTTTTAATAAAATGGAATTTTTTTTAAATTCCAATTTTCAAAAAAAAAACTTTTAATTTGATTTTTAAATTCGATTTTTTTAAGAATCGAATTTCTGATGCCTAACAAAGAGGTTGCCAAAAAGTATGGAGTCCCAAAGAACACATTACCAACCTCGATTAAAAATAAAACCAAGTTATTAACCCCACTGGAAAAAAATGGCAAAAATTCAAAAAGGAAGAAACTTCGTAGTGGTAATTTCAAAAATGTAGACAATGCCTTATACACGTGGTTCGTTGCAAAAAGAAGTCAACAAGTACCAATTAATGGTACCATACTAAAAAAAAAAGACACTAAAATTCGCAGAAGCATTAAGAGAGTTAGATTTTAAAGCATCTGATTGTTGGTTTCATAATAGGAAAAAAAGGTCAGTTAAATTTTGTTAAATCTTATTCAATTTTAATATAAACAAATAACATGTATCTGTTTATATTTAATTTATTTAGTTTTTTAAACATGTAATTAAAATTCAATTATTCTGTTCCTATTTTTAGGAACGGCATCAGCTTTAAAATAATCTCGGGCGAAAGTGCCGCCGTGACGAATAATATGACTGTTTCGTGGAATGAAACTACACTTCCAACATTGTTTTTGAATGACAAACTTGAAAACATTTTCAATGCTGATGAGTTTGGACTATTTTAGCAGTGCTTACCAAACAAAACATACCATTTATCACGAGAAAAATGTTTTGGGGGAAAAAATAGTAAAGTCAGACTAACAGGCATAGCAGCAGGAAGTGCAACGGGAGAAAAATTATCTATGTTTGTTATTGGAAAATCTAAAAACCCACGGTGTTTTAAGCACATTAACTTCCTTGCACATATAAAAATCAGCTAAAAAGTTGGATGACCGGAGACCTTTTTACAGAATGGGTAATGAAACTTGACTCATTTTTTTGTGGTCAAGACAGGAAAGTAGCACTAGTGGATAACTGTTCTGCCCACCCACACATTGAAGGGCTAAGCAACATAACCCTAATATTTTTCCCCCCCTAATACCACATCCGTCTTTCAGCTCATGGATCAAGACGTAATACGAAGTCTTAAAGCTCATTATCGTCACAAAATTGTGCGTTTGTGTATCAAGGCTGTCGATAATAACAAGCCCATGCCAAAAATTTCTATACTTCAAGCAATGAAAGATCTTGTTTCTTCGTGGAATGCTGTGTCGAAGGAGGCTGTCATCAACTGCTTTAAAAAAACTGGTATCAGCAAAACAAACAAGAGTATTGAAGAAGCTGATGATGATCATCTTTTTAAATTTTTGACAGAAGAACTTAACCGTTTGCGAGAGTTAAGTTAAGTTAGATCCTCGTGCCGTCCAAGAAGATCTCTCAGTGGAATCTTACATTGGTTTAGATTGCGATGTAGTAACCACCGGTTCACTTGCTAATGATGCTGAAATCATTGCTCAGATTTTAGACCCTAATTTTGAAAACGACGATAATGAAGTTGAAAATAGCGTTGACAAAGCTATTGACGTCGAAGCCCCGCCACGCCCATCTAATATTCAATTAGAAATTGCTTTTGAAACGATTCAAAATGCTTCGCTATACAGCTCATATACGGAAATGAAATACATTCCCTAGCACTAAAACTTGAGGATTTAATGAAGATGAAAAAAATGGATAATTTAAAGCAATATCAGATAACAGATTTTTTCCAAAAGTTGTAGTTTTTGTTGTTAATTATTTTTGTCAGAAAAATAACTTGTTTTAATGAAAGTTGGGCAATTTTATTTATTTTCAACCCTTTTCTTGATATCTCAAACTCTCGATATCTCGAACTTTTTTTCCGGTCCCCTTAGAGTCGACTGTATTGGTCGCAATCTTTTTTGTGTCGGGACTGTATTTTGTCAATACAATTAACAAAATATAAATACATTTTTATGCGGGGAGTAAAAATTTCGTGGCATTAAAAATTATTGCGCTTCTTTCATTATTTTTGTTTTTTTTGTTTTACAGTTTTAAGAAACAGTATCCGAAATTTTAAAACAATTTAAAAATTTTTTACTACTTGATGAATGATGATATTTAATGAAGGAACTTAAACCCTTATAAACATAAGAACTTAAACCCTTATAAACATAAGATTGGTTGTCATACTGGACAAAGGAAATAAAAAAATTATTCTGAGTAAACCGTACGATTAATTTAGTCAAACTTAGCATTCTAACCAGAAATCAATCATTCTTTTTTTTTTTTTTTTTTTTTCAGTTTACATTATTTACATGTCGTGATTTCCATGTAATATAAACATATAAACTTGGAATCTGGAAGAAGATCATATTGATCTTGTCGCCAGAACCATATAAAAATTACAATATAAATATAATATAGTATAATACAGGTAGTTTATAACAAAATAAAAATCCAAAACATTTGAAATAAGAAATTGTTAAAATAATATCTCAAAAATATTTCAATATATTATCCGTAGAAAAAATAATATTCTTTAACTTGTTTTTAAAAACAGAAGAAGAGATAGATGAATCTAAATTAGGCTGTACAATTTTATTCCAGATATAAGATGCTCGATAATCTATACAAAATTGATTAAACTTTGTTTGACAAAAGGGTTCTTTTAAAGGGTTAAAGGGTTCTTTTAAAGGGTTTAAGGGTTCTTTAAAGGATTTTTAAGGGTTCTTTTAAAGGGTTTAAGGGTTCTTTTAAAAGGTTCTTTTAAAGGGTTTAAGGGTTCTGTGTTTGTGACATCTGTGATATTGCTCAAACTAAAATCACTCCAACACCAGGCCCGTAGCCAGAATATTTTAAAGAGAAGAGCACTTTTTTAAAAAGGTGCCAAATAAGTATACAAATTGCATACAATAATTCAAAATGGAGAGAATGGTATAATTTTAACGTTTCTCCCCTCCCTACGGCCCTGAACAACAATGTCTGATAATAGCGAAAGAATCAAGCTTGGAGAAAAGAAAATGTATCATAATTAGACAAATAAAAGTATATAAAAGGTGCATGACAAGGTCTAAGTTTATTTTAAAAAAGTTAAAAATTTCAATACAACACCAGTGACCTGGTGGTTTAACCCTGCAAACAAATCTCAAACATCTCAAACTTCAAAAATGTGGCATTTGCCCCTATGCAAGGGCGGATAATTAGAGAGGAGGATGACGCGGGCGATTGCCCCTTTCAGAGTGTTTGAAAATAATTTTTTATTACTGTACATTTAAATCACCATGTTGTTTGAAAAAGAAGGAAGTAACTTATGTCTAATAAACAGACTGTTTAAAAATGATATGTAATTAAATTACAATTTTTACTCTTGCCTGCTCCCAAAATCTCCCCTCTAATTAAATGGCGAGGATCAACCGATACTGGATCCGCCCCTGCCTGTGTATGCAATTAATGTATGCATGTATTTCATGCAGCTATATAATAATTTTTAATAAAGGATTGTGGGAAACAAGCAAATTGATATAGTATTATATAACTGTGATTGCGTATTCGAAATCCGTTTTGCAAATATTTGTATTTAATCGGTTTATATTCCGATAGTTCAAATGCTTTGTTTATTATTGAAAGCAGTTGTACTTTTTTATATTTTTAGTTAAAAATTAGTTGAAAGTTGCTGAAAATGGTTTAAATTCAAAAGCAAGTATAAATCAAAGATGTATTTTAAATTTTTTGCTGCGGTTTATTGTATAATTTTTGGTGTTTTCGGAAATCCAAATTTATTGCTTGACAAATATAGGTATATTTCTGTTGTGCTTGATCAAAAATCGAATACATTGGTTATAAAAAATCATACAAATGACGACTATGTTGCAAAAGCTGCTTTTAAGAATTCTATGAATGAGAGTGGGTACGACTTTTTTCATCAGTATTACTATAGACATGTTTAAAAAAATTTTTTTTCATTAATATTAATAATGTAATTTTTTATATTTCATATTTTAGACTAAAATTTTGAAAAACGTGAGATTATGCGTTTTAGAAAAATTAAAACAAAAAATAAAAGTTTCAAGGTAGTGGTCTTGTGGTAGAGCACTCAATTTATACGCGAGAAGTTTAGAGTTCGATCTCCACTACGTCCCTGGTAGTACCTCGCTCAACTTGTTTCTTCGAACAGCGGCTTTGTTTGTTAAGTTTTGAATAAGTTTTTTCTTGTTTTGGAGCAACTCGGTTAAAAATCGGGTAGTAGTAACTGTATCGAAAACAGCTAAAATGAACAAACTCGAAAAGGGACTTTCCAGAATAATATCGAAATAGAGAATAAAAACAGATTTGTAAAAAAAGAAATTGTATTTAAAATACAAAAAGCAGAATAAGGTTAAAATAGCTCAAATAAATATCGAAATAGAGAATAAGCTGAAGTTGTGAATTATTATTGATAGACTGTCTGCCAAAACCAAACTCTCAGTCGATGTAGCAGCACTCCTTGCAAGTTCTACATATTTTTCAGTCAATGTAACAATACTCCATGCTCTACACATTTTATTTCTACAAAAAAATGCGGATCAAATGTTCAATATGTTAATTCCTTATTATCGTACTGCTTGCAATTTTTTTATCCCCAAGGTTAATAATAAAAAAAAAAGTATGAATCTTGGGTTACTCCACATTTTAAAAGCTTAATCTGAGCAAAAATATCAGCTGTTATGTTAGGGGCTGTATATCAACTGTTCAACTAAATGGAAGAATAATGATCTCAAAACAAATTACAATCGTTTTAATCGTTCCGTTAAAGCTGAACTTTTTTAAGCAAAAATATTACATGAAAAAGAAATAATATCAAAATCTCAGAACAACTCGTCTACAAATACATTAACAGCTAACTAAAAGTTAAAGATAAAATTTGTTCTCTCAAAAATGCCTCAGGGGAAATTACTGAAACTCTTCCCGATATACTTGAACTTTTGAACTCTCAATTTAAGTCTATGTTTACTCTTGAAAGCCTCAAAAATTTTCCATTGTTAAATAAAAGTGATGTTAATCCTAAATGTAATTATAATAACAACTTGTATTTCTCTATTGAAGACATTATTAATGAACTAACTGATCTAAAACCTTACAAATCTTTTCAGACCTGACGGCTTGTACCCTTTAATACTTAAGATATTTTTTGAAAGCTTTGCATTTCTGCTTACAAAAATTTGCTATGAATCTTTTAACTCTGGAATAGTACCAACTCTCTGAAAATTAACGAATATCAGTCCAGTCTGTAAAAGAAAGGGAGAAAAACTGCTATCTGAAAACTAACGACCTATTTCACTAACCTCGGTTGCGTGAAAAATCTTTGAAAAAGGTGTAAAGAATAAAATCTTGAACCACATCAACGATAACAACCTTATCTCTACAAATCAACATGGCTTCCTTCATCATAAATCTTGCGTAACCAATCTAATAGAGACTTGATATTATTTCGTCTTCCGCGACTGCAAAAGTTTTTGATTCCGTACCTCACAACAGACTTATGTTAAAAAAAAAATCATTCGGAGTTAACGACAAACTACTACAATGGATTAATTCCGTTTTAGTAGGTAGAAAGCAACGCGTTACAATAAAAATACTAGCTCTGTCTGGGTTGATGTTCTTAGTGGTGTTCCTTAAAGTTTTGTTCTCAGCCCGCTCCTCTTTATTCTTTTTACAAACAATGCTGTTGTCTACAAATCTTTACAATTTCCTGGTATGCTAAAAAAGACATTCACCATCATTGATGAAAAAATGGCTCTCAAATTACATAAAGTGTTTATAAGACCACATCTTGAATACGCAGTGTCTGCTTGGGCCCTGTATTAAATCAATGACGTAGCTTTGGTTGAATCTGTTCAACGTTCAACCAACAAAATGGGCTCTAAGCTTTAGAAATCTGATATGCTACGAATGGCTAAAAAAACTAAATCTACTACCACTTAAATTTCGGCGCCTAAAATGCGATCTTACCCATTTTTTAAACTAATACACCGCTTTGATTTAATTAATAACAATTTATTAATAACTCCTTGTCACGTAGTCACCATCTGTGAATATATTCCGAACAGTCTTCCGAGACAAAACTAACTATATAATAGGTCAGCAAAATACTGGAACGAACTACCCGTTCAAGTAACTTTCTACTCAACTGTACTTTCCTTCCATATGTTTATGTGTAGTTAGCCGTTTACTATATTATAAGTTGTCTTGCAGGACCTCATTCTAAACAGCATAATAAATTGATTATACACCTTGTTCTACTAAATATATTAAGTTTTAAAACATTATCTTTTAAAATTTATTAGCTTTTAAATCATTATACTTCGCTTTTCAGGAAGAAAATTACTTTTTCTTTGATCACTTATATGCCAGTCTTTTGTTCACCCATCAGTTGTGTATCAGGACTGGAAACACATTTAGGTCCGTATAATACTATTGAATTAAGGAATTACAAAATTAAAAAAAAAACACAAAACATTAGTAACTTATTAACAATTGCAACAAAAATCAATGTTTGTTAACTAAAAATAATTACATAAATATGAATTGAACAAGTGTTTTTAATATTTTAACATATTTTAACTTGAAATATTTTTCACAAGGTACTTGTGTTGACAATAAAGTAATAACATATTTGTACACTAAAAATAAATTTGTTTTTTTAAATGAAAATTTTGAAAAATTATTTAACAGCATACAATGCAATTTCTGCATGACTTGCATGATCTTACTGTATTATTCTCTTCATCATCTTCTTTATCACAAAACAATCCACTTCTATCAACTGCTATATTACCATTAAAATATCTCCACTTTTTTTAAAAACCTATAAGTTTAGCTTTTAAATTTTTTTCATATTATTATTTTTTTTAATTTTTGATTTGTTAAATTGGTTGAATATTAATACATGAAATGTTTTGGAAATTAATCGGATCTAATTAGAATCTATCATTATAAAGAGATCATTTTTTGAAATTTGTTTAATAATGTTACTGGTAATTGCATCCATTACTGGTAATTGCATCCATTACTGGTAATTGCATCCATTACTGGTAATTGCATCCATATTTGATATCTCTTTTGTCTAGTTCTTTGTTTGCAGTCAATTACTGCTGATGGATATACAGAAAAATATACAAAATCTTTGTATTTTAAAAAGTCAATCATAATTTTTGCCATACCAAGTGAAATCGCTATATTCTTGTTTTTAAGGAAAGCCTCTGGTAAAAATAATACAAAAGATTTATGCAAAAGTTTTATTTTTTTTTGTTTTTCAAAAAAAAAAGTGTTATTTTATTTTATTTTTCAAGTCTTAATTTCATTAAGACTTGCATACTTTTACAAATGTATATATATATATATATATATATATATATATATATATATATATATATATATATATATATATATATATATATATATATATATATATATATATATATATATATATATATATATATATATATATATATAAAAATGATAATTAAATTATCATTCATATATATGAATTATCAAAAATGTTTTAAAGTTATATTATTTTAAAGCTGGTCAAAGTTGTATGTGAGCACAAATGGAAAATACAGTGATGTATTGCAAGCTGAAGCTGCTGGTATGGCTGAAGGCTTCTTAACATCTGATCATATCAGCATGAATTACATGAACACTTTAAATGATTACTGTGTTAATGAAAAAGAGTACTGCAAAAAACTTGAAAATTTTATAGATGAAAATTCAAAATGGATGTCACAACAACTAGAGATAAAAGAAAATGCGAAGAGTTTATACTGGCAACAGGTATATTAACTTGAGTATATTTTTTAGTTATGATTAGAGCTTTATTTATTTATTGCAAGTTGCTGTTTATACTTTGAAATTTTTTTAGTAATATTAATTTTAAGTAATGAAATTTTCTATTTTTATTTAAATATTGTTATTGTTATAATTACTGTAGTTTTGAATAATAATATTATCATTATTATTATTATCATTATATAAAATATATTTTGTATTATATATATTACATATTCTTATACTATATTATGTATAGTTTTTTTTATTATACTTTAGAAATAAACAAAAGCTTTTTTTAGGTTGTTCTTGTTAATAAACAACTTGAGGGATTACTAAATGGGTATCTTGAAAGCAACACTCAACCTAGTTTAACTTTACTGAATGTCAGGCAGGTTTTTGAAATTCGACTTTTTTGCTTGTTGTCAAAGTTAAAAAATAACAGTAAAGTGAGTAGAAAGGAGAGACTTAGAGAAACCATAAGTCTGAAATTGTGTATTTTAAGTTGTTATTTTTAATTTTAGAATGTTGCAATTATATGGTGACCTTTTTGATCTTGAGAAACGACTCGGGAAAAAGTCTTTTAAAAAATTTGGTTCTTGCTCAGGTTTAGTGAAGTTGTTTCCAAATAATAGTGATCTAGTTATTTCTCATGTCACATGGTTCAGCTATAGCACGATGCTCCGAATTTTCAAATATTATAATTTCACGTTTCATGATGAGCAAGGTTTTTATTTACTATATTGTTTCAATAGTTTATTGTAAATTATATATTTTAAGTTACTTCCTAATTCTTAATAACAACTAATATAAAACTAGTTTGATTGCTATAATATTAATTAGATATGCTGATAACTAGGATAAGTCTTCTAATGTTCTCATATTAAGATGCGTTAATTTGATTGATTTTTTCAATGAGAGTATTGCCATTATAAATATTTGAATGTTGCAAAAAGGTCAATATTTGCTTTCAACTTGTATATTTAAAAAAGTGTATATTTAAAAAAATAGTATATTTAAAAAAGTTTATGGCCTTTTTAGAAATTTTTTGTTGAAGTTATTTATTTTTCAGATGTTTTTAAACCACTGTTTTCAGAATGCAGGCTTAAGAAATTCCCAAAAAATTTGCACAAAATTTTGTGTTTTGTCAGTTTCCAATTTATTTTAATTTAAATATCATCTAATAGATAAACAAAGTAAAAAAAACAGCAGTAGATATTAGTCATGCCATCCAAAAATAAAGTTAAACATTAAGTTATGCACAGAATGGAAAAATTTTAGTTTTAGTTTTTTTACTAAACAAACTTTATTCATTCTGAAAATATTTACCAGTTTCTACCTTTTGGCTCTACAAAGATGATTTTTATTGATGATTATTTTTGTAAAACATTGTGTCAATTGAGAAATTTGAAATTTTTAGTTTATAAAAGCACAAACTTACTTAAAAAACAGGGAAAAATGGTTTCTATGTTCAGAGACAAAAACAAAAATTTTCTTATACTCTTTGGATACTGGTAACTAGACAACTTATATCTTATTTTTTAGTTCGTTAGATCTAATGTCATTATTGAGATGTCAGAACTCATTCCAATGTATTTGTAATTATTTAAAATGGTTTTTCTTGATTTTTGAACTTGTTTTTTATGATTGATGATTGCTTAAAAGGCATGAAGCTTCAAGTCCCATAAGTTGTTGTTTTTCTTTATTGTATAATGTTCTATTTTAAAATTTAAATAAAATTTCTAAATTATTTTGCACTTTTCTACAATCAATAACTTTTTATTTTAATATAATATTAAACCAATCACAATATATATGTTCTGTTCAGTTAAGCACTGTATTCAAAGTCTTACGCACAATGGAGAAAGTAAACTTTAATTACTCAATAAAAACATTTCATATATATATACATATATATATATATATATATATATAATATATATATATATATATATATATATATATATATATATATATATATATATATATATATTTATATATATATATATATATATATATATATACATATATATATATATATATATATATATATATATATATATATATATATATATATATATATATATATATATATATATATATATATATATATATATATATATATATATATATATATATATATGTATATATGATACCTGCAGCCGTATTTTTATCTCCCCATTAAGCTTAACGGAGCGTTAATTTTTTTATCAATGTAGTAAATAAAAAAATTTATATATATATATATATATATATATATATATATATATATATAATATATATAAATATATATATATATATATATATATATATATATATATATATATATATATATATATATATATATACATATATATATATATATATTTTATAGAATACTATATCACGAATAAAGGAGTCACGAATCGTTTCTTCTAGGTATTGTAATGCAGTAACTGCTTTAAAGTTACAATCTTTAGCAAGTATTTTATGTGCTTGGATTTAATCATTGAATGATTCACCTGATTTCTGTTGACATGCTGTTAAACAATATAAAGAAAATGTAGTGTTTAATGGTTTAATGCATAAATTAAACCATTAAACACTACAATATAATGCTATAGATATTTCTATAGCAGAATATATTACATTCACTGATGTATTGTCAAGTTTTTTTTGAGGTAATGTCTTAAAAATATTCAGAAGTTCTCAACCAATTTTTAAATTCTTGGTTACTTAATGATGTGTTTGGAGGTGTTTTAAATCGTGCAGGTTGCAGAGCATTGTCCATTATTGTGATGATACACAATGATTAATTTGTTAATAAAATATTTATGATCTTGAAGGATAAATGTCATTAATTAGTTTTTTAATTTATTTTTAACTTTTTACTAACTAAAACACTAAGAAGAGATATTAACACAGCAACAATAATGTTTCATTTCATCTCATAAACCTTCTAATGAATGTTTAGCAAAACATATAACAGACAAACTTGTTCTTAAATATATAGCAAACATAACAATTGTTATGTGTGGCTTCTATTTATGGTCAACAAGTTTGCTGTTTTTAAGAAAAACTAGTAACTTTTTATAGTGCAAATGATTACTTTTAATTTTAAAGTGTTTATTAGGCCCAAAGAACAAATGCCCTTTTACAAAAGTAAATGTCTTATAGAACTTATCTGCTAATTGTCTCTTGTCTCTCTTTGATAGAGCACATATAGTAAACTGGTCTAATATTACTTTCATAGGTTTACAGATTTTAAAAGCAAGATAAAAAGTAGAACAAACAACATAAGAAACACCATAAAAAAGCAGTTCTCAAACATATAAAACATTAGTTTAATACAAATCAAATTGTTGAAAAAAACAACAAAAAGCTTTTTATCTAAGTTCTATTTGTCCTTTCTTTAAAAAGCTCTATTGTGAGTTTAATCTTTTGTGTTCTATATTGAGTTCTGTATTATAATATTATATGATCAGTCCAATTAAAATTTTTCTTTTGATAAGGTAACTTGATCCCTGGAAATGAACAGAGTTTTGCTTCATATCCTGGTTCCCTTCTTAGTCTTGATGACTTTTATATTCTCAGCAGTGGTTTGGTATGTTGATTTCAACACTATTATGTATATATTGACATAATTAATCCAAAATTATTGAGATATTTATGAAAATTTTATTAAACCCTAATAATTGAGAGATTTTTACTAGAGAAAAGTTAAAATAGGTATTTTGCTATTTTGACGTTAATAAAATTTTAGAAGTATATTTCAGGCAAAATATTTTTATTACAAATATATAAATAACAAATATACAAAAGCATAAACAACAAATATACAAATATATTAATAACAAATATACAAAAGCATAAACAACAAATATACAAATATATAAATAAGAAATATACAAAAGCATAAATAACAAATATACAAGTATGTAAATAACAAATATAAAAAAACTATAAATATATAAATAATGTTCAACAAAAAATATTTATATTTATCTTCCTAAGGTTGATATTATATCTCTCCAAGTCCGAAAGTCGCTAGAGTTATCAAGGCTTTTCCTCTTTAATATCTTTTTGATTTATAATTTTACAAATTTTTCCCACCCTTTAATTCTAAAACACCAAGTTTAAAAAACAAGGCTTCTGCTAAGAAAAATTAGATGAATTAAATTAAAATAGCGTTTTATTTTTATGATAAAGTATATTTTTATTATATAATGTGTAGTTATTAAAAATAATTGTTTATTTATTTATTCAATTGCTGCGGTGAGCATATGCTCACTGAGTGGTAATCCACTTTAGCAGCAAGTTTAAAAACTACAATTTGAAATTTTAATTCTCATAATAAAGTTCATCAAGACATTTTTTAAAGTTTACATTGACTTAAGTTCGACTTCAAATGGCAAATTGTTCCAGATTGGGATAACATGGTAGGAAAAAAATTCATTCTACTCGAGTGTCTACAGATCTCAGAAGTATATCTATGATTGTGGATATAGTCACAAGCATTTCCAGCTGGTCCAGTTGGTCAACAAAAGTTCTATAGGGAAGATACTGTAATTAGCTGATAAGAATTATTAAGGCATTTAAAAAAGTTAATTAAATTGCTTCTTTCTTTTCTTAAAGATAAGGTTGTTAAGTTAAGTCTATTTAATCTTTCCTCATAAAGAAGCTCTGAATATCCTAGAATTAGTCTTGTATGTACTTCTTCAATAAGGTTAATGTATTTTTTTAAAAATGGATTCCAAATAGAAGATGCATATTCTAGATGAGGGTGTACTAGCGAAACATATAACAATTTAAGTATATCCGCATTTAAAAATGAAAATGTATGCCGGATAAGACCTAAGTTCTATTTGCTTAAAAAACACATGCAGATATATGATAACCATATTTCAGATTTCTTTTAAACATGATGCCAAGATCTCAACAAGTACTCAATTGATAATCAGAAATGTAATATTTAATGATATTTTTTTTTTACTTTATTACATTTATTGACATGCATTATTTTACATTTTTCTATATTTAGTTGCATACTCCAGTCATTGCACCTATTAAAAATAGAATTTATGTCATCCTGTAGATCATTACTACTGTTATCACGGACTATGTGGAAAACTTTGCAACCATCAGCATAGAGCTTGCATTTAATTTTTAGTTCATTCGGAAACTCATTGATATAAATAAAAAAAAAAATTGGTCCCAGAACAGAGCCTTGTGTACACCACTTAAAACACTAAGCCAAGTAGAAGCAATGTCTTCAAAAACAACTCTTTGTCTTCTGTTTGATAAAAAAGACTCAATTCATTTAAGAATGAATCCCTTTATACCATACATTTCAATTTTTAATATAAAGCAAGACTTACGTGGTAAAAAGCCATGCTGATTCTTATTTATCAAATTTTTGATTAAAAGATGCTGAATGATAAGTTTTTTTAATATTCTTTCTAAAATTTTGCATATAACTGACGAAAGAAAAACAGGTCTATAGTTGGAAGGATCAAGCTTATCACGATTTTTAAAAATCGGTACTATATTTGAGTTTTTTCGTGCTTTTGGTACCACTCCTGATTTAATTGATAGCTTAAAAAAATGTTCAATTGGAATACTCAGATTTAAAGAACAGGTACCCAGTACATACGGATGTAATCCAACTTTCCCACAGGTTTTGTATTTATCCAATGATTTTAATTGTAAAAGAATTTCTTTTAAATTGATTATTTTGTTTGTATCGAGTAAGAGGATTAAAACTCAGTTTGTTATCGCCTTCAGTACAGATTGAAAATATGTGTTTAACAAATTTGTAATATCTAAAAGGTTATCACTCACAGTTTCATCTAGAAACCTTAAAGTGGGAATTCCTTCTTTATACTTCTGTTTGCTGTTCACGTATGCATAAATTCTCTTAGAATCTGATTTAGAAGATTTTGCTAAGTCATGTTCTAATTGTTTCAAAGCTAATTCAATAGAGTGTCGAGTCTTAGTTTTAACAAGTTTATATTTTGCTAATAATTCGAGATTGTTTCTTCCTGATGCAATAACTTAGACCATATTTGATTTTTTTCAGTAATTAGTTTCTTTATATCAGATGTAATCCAAAGCTTGTCGCGGTTGTTCGTATTTTTTAGAATGTGGAATGAACTTGTTACAGGCCATCAGGGCCTTCGAGAGCGCCAATGGTGTCTGGGTCAAATTGAGGACTGGCGCCCCTATTTCAAACCAAGAAGATAAAAAATTTAAAGTTGTGTGAACACAGTGGATATCTATTTCTGACACAGCACATTGTATTTATTTTCTCTAGATTAAGAATCAGTTCATTAATCAAAATTAACATGTCAATCAAAATATTAGTTTTAAAACCAATAAACAAAAAATCAATCAACAAAATCTTCAAAAAAAGTAAATAAGGCGCATAAAAATAAATTTTTGAACTTTTCTGGCTGCCCAAATACCGATGACATCGTCGTAGCTTACCTTTTAAGCCAAATCTTCTCAAATCAAAAGTGATCAGTAACATGATCCAGGCCCATGGTCAAACGGAAAGAGTTTTTTACAATCTTCAGTTTACTAAGCGATATTTCAGTAACTGATACAGGAATAGTGCTGAAAGTAGAGATGATGATGCAAGTGTACGGAAAAAGGAGTTCAAGCTTCTCAAAGATTTGATTGAGGCGCTGCAGTGAATTGAAAATTGTTTTGCAGGGATTGTTAAAACTTCTTTAGTGATATTCTCTTTGTTCACATCCCTTGTATAAAACCATGCAAATTTGCAAGCTTTATTATAAAATTATGATTGTTCAACTAGATGAATAAAAACATATTGCCAACCATTCAGTTTGCCTCAAATATTTAATGAATCTGCTGGATAAGACTATCTAAACCAAAATTAAAAGCGTTTACTTTGAATTTTTTTGTTTGGCTGTTGTGAAATGGGTTGAGTTTGATGCCTCAATGTGAAAGCACTTCAACTCCCGGCAACTTAGCAAGTGGTTGTATTGCCTTGGTACGAGAGCTTTATCTTGTCATAGAAAATCTATGCAGTGAAACTTCAGCTGCTTCAGTGAAGATCTTTCATCGAAAAGGATTTGAAACTAAAAATTATGTAGAAAGATTCGACATTTCTAAAGAGTAATTTGATCTCAATGACTGATTAAACTGCGTGCACACCAGTCAAATTCAGACTGTAAGGGCAACAGGGAACGTACAGAATAGTTTTGCCTTATGAAGGCTTGAGCTTCTTTTTAAGCACCTGAAATCTTGGATCTACTATTCTATTCAATGATTTTGAATATCCAAACCACAATGATTTTGAAAATCCAAATCTTGCCTTGAAATCACCTCAGTAATAAGCTTGGCTATATCGATTCCTTTCTTCTCAATAGCTTCAACACACAAGATTTAATAAAAGAAAAAAAAAAATAACAAAGGTTATCTGCTCAGTGTGAGATGGAGCGGGGGTACCATCGACTATGGTTGTGAAGTAGATACTTTACTGGATTTCTTTATCAACTACAATTCGGATGACACCACCATATTCTCTGATAAACTCAATTTGAGACAACAAAGAGAGGTAATGAGCAATCATTCTGGAGCCCTCCTGCTGATGGCCACATAATTTTATATAGTAATAATTTAATTATTGCCATGGCCTATTTAAAATACACGGTCTTACATCCTGCATTTTTGCTGAAAAAATAGAAGGCCATTTATTTGTTTATATTTACATTCACAAAAGCATCTGAATTGAATTTAAAATCGAGCTTTAATAATGTTTCTTGTTTATATTTGCAATTTTTTAATTTGTAATATCAATAAAAATACTTCTGATACATAAAAAAATACACTAATGATGATGATTTCTATTTTGTACTTATAAATACAAAAACATATACAAGGAAAAAAAATATAAACATTATTAAGACAAATTTTTTTAACTAACTTCTAATTGTTAGATTTCAATAGATCATTCAATATATATATTTAATTTCTACATCATAATTGTTGGATAGTCAAAATCACTTAGAAAATTGGAATTTTAACCAAATAAATTACATGTGAAGCATATCAAATTTTCTTTTACTTATACATTAAAATTAGTTCAAAGCAATTAACTCTGAAAAACAAAACTAAAAACATGCAAGAAGTAAAACTAACACAAATAAAAAAATATGTATTAAAAAATTATTTGAATCTTAGCCTTTTTTAGAAGCAACTATATTGTCTTTATGAACCAAGTCAGTAATAACTTTTCTACTATTGTTGAAGTATATGTTGGAGATAGTGTGGTGCACATGATCTCGCCCCTTAACCCAGTGGGTGAAACATAAAAATGCTTCATGCTTCATGGCAATATTGAGAACCAGTTTGGCAGCTTTTCTGTCTTACAGTATTGAACTATTTATAATATCAAAAACACAATCAATATATGAAAAACCATCACAAACATAATCAATAAGATATGATGATGGTACTATCAGCCCAACTTTTTTTTGCAACATTCTTCTAACCTTTTTGCTAACCTCTTTGCAATATACCCAGCAACATACACTGCAACTTCACAAGATTCATCAGAGAGTATAATTTTTTAAAAGTTTTTAAAAATTTTATTTAAAAATTCATCTAAATGTTCAAACTTTATTATTTAGTTTATTTAAAATTTTATTATTTAGTTTTAAATAATAAAATTAGATATATAATAATATCTATTAGAGATGGTTGGCATAAAAGTGTCCTTTGTAAAGCTGAAGATGTTTGAGCTGATAAGGTAAAGTTTTTACAATTAGAAATTTTTGAACTTTCCCAAGTTAAAAGCCACTGTGCCATTGCACACAAAAACTCAGGCTTTTTATCACCTTGAATCGCTGCTCTTCTAAGTTTATTACTAAAACAAAATTGGTCTTTTGAGATTCTTGCATCTTTTCACCACACGTTGAAAAGATGCAAGAAACTTGAAGCATCTTTGGAATTCGGAAAATAAGAATTTATAGCAGCTATAGTAGTTTCATGAAAAATGTCAAGTGCTACCCTAACATTCTGCTTGAATTTACCTGGGTGTAAAACTTTATTGCAAATGGACCATTTCTTAAATTTGTATTCAAGTTTTCATCCTTTTCATAAACATCGTGCAACAGTATCCAGGAAATTTCACCATACTTGAAAGTAATATCAAAAAAATAACAAAAATTGAATTCAGGAAAAATAAATCCTTTTCTCTTTAACAAATTATTTTGAAGATTTTTTATCAGGTGTACGACATCAAAAAATAAATGAACTTTTTGTGATTGAAGATTTATAAATATACTTTGAGCATCTTGATAATGTAGCTTCAATAACTTTGAGTAGGTTGAAACATTAATCGCATAGTTGTCACATACAATACCTCTGATTCTAAAACCACTCTTGGTTAAAATATCTAAGCAGCTCAAAATTTCATCTTTTAACCAATTGCTGTCGATTTTGGCAACTGGCGAAGCTTTAGTAATGCAGGGTATATTTTCTTTTATCATAAAACATACAATACTTTTATAAAGTTCATTCTTATTGTCAATACCAATAAGTTCTCCTCCACAATATTCTCCACACTTTAGCAAATACATTTCATCAAATAAAACAACAATATCCTTTGATGAAGAATTATTTTCCATCAATAACTTTGTAACTTTCAATAAATCAATTTTACCTTAATTTTTCTTGTTTAAAAGGGAAAGTGAAGGTAAAGTAAACTGTTCAAGAAGAAGTTTATACGGTTGAAGTGAAGTATAATGTAGGAGTAAAGCATATTGTATAATATCAGCTAAATAGACTTGACTTTTTTTAAATTGATGTTTTTTAATTTCATCTAAAAAACAAAGATATAAAATCAGGACATTGTCAGTCCCACTGATGAACGACTTTCAAATGATATTGCTAAAAACTTTGCATGAGCAACAATTCCGCCATATTACTAAAGAGTTGAGGCTAGATTTCATTGAGCTCAGATTTGGCAAGACACTCGGGTTTGACATCACATCATGTACAAGGGTGCATACTTGAATGGGTTTGAAGATCACAAACCATATTTGCAACTTTCATATCACAATCCAAAATTAGTTTAACTTCATTCAACAAAATTAGTTTAACCCCAATTTGTACAATGTTGGAGTAAGTTTCTGGCAAATCTCTTGATACCGCAACAAGAATTTGTTGCTTAACTCTAGTGTCTTTGCCAGTGCTTTGAGTAAATTTTTTTTTGAGGGGGTGAGCTGGTATCAATTAATAATGCAGTATCAACAATTCTTAGACAAAATTTGAGAATACCTTTACCACCATCAATTCCAAGCTTAACAAAATATCCACCAAAATTTTGTGAGATTGAGCAACATGGTTGCCAAGAATTGATTAATCATTGCAGTAAGCAACAACCCTAACTATACCAGAATCTCCTTTTCCGTCAGTAATTTTTAAGTAACTGCAGGTAAGGAAATCACTCAAGTGTTAACCTGCTCTAAAGAAATTCTTATTTCTTTATAGCAGGTCAACAAGTTTGTCGTAATGACCTCAATGCTGACCTGCTTTTAGTAAATTCTTTTAAAAATTTGGGTCTACTTTTTTTCTGCTTGATGTTTGATTTACAGTTCTGACCAGTTTCTTTAATCCATTTTTTGATAGTCACGCATTTAATTGTACATTTACAAAAGCTAGAGTGGTTAAGTGGTCTTACTCTGGATTCTATTTTCTATCTCTATAAATCTCAAATCCAGCCTCGTATGGAATACTGTTGCCATATCTGGGGCGGATCTTCTAATGATGCCCTTTCTCTTTTAATTAAGGCGCAAAAATGCATTATAAACATAGTTGGACCTGCTCTTGCAGCCAACCTTCGACCATTATCACATCGTCGTAATGTTGTTTCTCTTTCTCTTTTCTACAAATACTATAATGGGCACTGCTCTAAAGAGCTAGCGTCTCTTAGTGCCATGTAATAAAACTCATTCTCATGTTACTCATCATTCAATTAAGTCTCATCCTTTTTCTGTGACTGTTCATTAATGCTCCAAAAATTCTTATTTGTCTAGTTTTTTTCCTCAAACATCAGTACTTTGAAATTTGCTTCCTTCAACTTTCTTTCCTGATTCATATAATTTGCAATCTTTTAATTTGTCTGTCAATCGTTATCTTGCTTTCAGTAACTTCCAACTCTAATTAGTGGTTGCTTGCAGCCTTGTTGGAAGCATAGATGTTTAAAAAAAATTACTTAATTTATCAGGAAATAATTCTTGCATAAATTTTTCCTTTAAAGGAAATAATTATTTTAATTATACTTTTCATACTTGTTTACGCTTTAGATAAGATTTTATTTAATGAAACAAAATGTTTTTGCTCTGCAAAGGTCTATTCTCCCTTTCATAAGATTTTCTTCTGACTGGCCCTTTAAACTTTTTATTTGTCAATTACTTTAGTTACCTAAATTTTTATAAATTTAGGTAACTATCACCCTGTATATGTGGCATTCTTGGGTCAGCTAGGTTGGCATTATCAGGATCCGTGCTAACCTTACTACACACTGTTATCACAATTAAAATTATCAGGGGATACCGTGAAGCAGTTCTCCTTTCTTTTATAGATTGTATATTTATATAATAGTAATTATATATTTACTATTATAGTTTTGTTACATAAAATATCAAAAACAAAGCATAAAATGATTGGAAAAAAAGGAATTATTTAAAATCTTTAGGAACTTTATTTACTAAAAAATGAATGAAATGATTAGAAAAAGAAAAAATTAATTTGTTGACAATTTTAAAAATCTTGTTTTAAAACAGATTTAACTCTATTGTTTTTAAAATTTTTTTTTAAATACTAAATAATTTTTTAAAATTTTTGTGTGCCATAATAAATACTGTTTAAAATTTTTGTGTTGCATAATAGGTCTTAAAGTGTATGGATAGCATTGTCTGAATTCTGTTGAATTGTGTGGTTGAATGCACACTATACAAAACTTAGGTGTGCACTGAGGTGTGTGCACATTATTGCATGCAATGGCTTTTAAATTAAAAACCTTTTATATATTACTTCAAGGTTACACAAGAAACATCCATTAGCAATGACAACAATAATCTTTGGGAATATGTTCAACCATCTTCACTTTTTGAATGGGTCAGAAATATTGTTGCAAATCGATTAGCAAGTACTGCAAGTGAATGGTGTTATTTGTTTGAGCGGTACAATAGTGGTACATATAATAATCAATGGATGATTCTTAATTACAATTTATTTGAGCCTGGAAAGCATTTAAAACCTGACACATTTTGGGTATTAGAGCAACTTCCAGGTATTGTAGAGATGGCAGATATGTCAATATTTTTACAAGAGAATGGTTATTGGGCGAGCTACAATATTCCGTAAGTTGAAGTATTTTCTTATAAGTTTATTGATTTCCATTACTTTTACCAAAAAAATAGTATGTTATTTAAAGTATTGTTTAGCATATGAGTACGCAATAGGAGCTACAAGCAAGACGTGTTGTTCTTTTAGAAAGAAAAAAAATGATAATAATATTTAAAATATGTTTTTTTTAATCAATAAAGTGGTTGAAAAACAAAAGATCTACAAAAAAATATGGTGTCAAGATTACTCAGTAAGATATTCTTGTATTTAAAATTGGACATTAATGCATTTGAAGATAATTATTTGAAAAACATTGAAAAAGTTTGTTCTCACCTTAAAAATTTAGTTGTTCAAAATATCTTAGCAATTCAATGAAATAAAGATAACTTAAGACTAATAAAACCCTGTTGAAAAAATCTCCATAAAGGATACAAAATAGCATTATGTGTAGAAGATAAGGAAAGCAATTATATCAACAAAAAACGATGAAAATCTAATCAATTTCTTTCCACATTTAAAGAATTGGTAATTGTTTCTAAAGCAATTTAAATGAAAACCAAATAAATAAATAAGAAATTTAGTTTTTTGAAAGAGAAAATACTTTTTCAAATCAATCTTATTGAAGACCTTGAAATAAAAAACAAAACTTTGGAATTGAATCGGTATCTATTGGTATCTTCCTAAGGAATCAAGTTCTAAATATAAATTTCGATTATAATGCACAAAGTGAAAAGAATTTTTCAGAGGCAGAACAGACAAAAAACGTCATCGAACAATCTCGTGGTAAACCATGGTCAAAAATTGAAACAAAAAATCAAGTTCCAAATATTAATTTCAATAAACGTGAACAAGGTGAAAATAAAGTTTCATATACAGAATTATCCCCCCCCAAAACAATTGTATTCCCCCAACATCCCTAGGGTTTAAGTATAGTCAATTTCAAAAGTAGAGGGACAGAAAAAGGCGTAGCAAGAGTGGGGAGGACATGTCCCGGGCGGTTTTTTTAAGGAGTGGCGCCGCTCTTTATGTCATTAAATAATAACTAAATTTGTTTTGTATGGCTTTTGGTAGTATTTTTTTTTTATAAAAGTTTTCACAAATCATGCCTTGGCTATTTCGTTCATAAATTAGACATGTAATTTTAAGTCTAATTTATTTAACAAAGTGCACCAACGAGAAGGTAAGCCATAGGACGTTGCACTTCATCTGTGTACTATCATTTTGCCAAAGGTTAGCTCTCCATTTCTTGATTCTTTCCTTTTCTTGAGAGGCACGTAATGTGAAGTAATGTTGCCTAAGGTTAGCCCTCCATTTCTGGATTCTTACCTTTTTTTGATAAGCAGGTAATTTAAAGTACTATTAGGTTATTTATTAATGTAAAGTAATATTAAGTTAATTAATTAATATTATAATTATAAAGTTAGCCCTCCATTTCTAGATGTCCTTTTCTTGATAGCAGTTTATGTAAAGAATTAGTAATCTTATTTAAGGTTAACCCTCATTTTTTGGATTCTTTTCTTTTCTTGATAGGATTTTTTTTTTTATCTATTTATTAATTTTTTTTATATATATTTTTTTGAAGTTCAATTAATTAAAATAAATGTAGGCTAACAGTCTCTCTCTCTCTTCCACTCCCCTCTCTTTCTCTCTCTCTCTCTCCCTCTCTCTCTCCCTCTCCCTCTCCCTCTCTCTTTCCCTCTCCCTCTCCCTCTCTCTCTCTCTATATATATATATATATATATATATATATATATATATATATATATATATATATATATATATATATATATATATATATATATATATATATATATATATATATATATATATATATATATATATATATATATATATATATATATATATATATATATATATATATATATATATATAGTTGTTATTGGAATCGTTCCTAATATATAAATAAACGCTTTTCTTATATTTGGAAAACTTCTCATGTCAATGGTCTTTAAAATACTAGCAACAGTTAACAGAATATTTGATTGGTTTTTCAAAAATAATTTCCATAAATCTAACTCATGTATTGAAGTAAAATGAGACATACTCATATAAATAGAAATTTAAAAATTCATAAAAATCAGATTTCCATGGTTTCTTATCAGATTTCCATGGTTTCTTGTATTCTGGACAGTACAGTTGAAGGAACTGCTGCTAAACCTTTATAATCAAACATACTATTTTCTGGAAACCTACTATCTAGCTCATTAATAAGATGTTCAATTAATGAAGAAGTAATGCTTTTAAAATAGTCACAAACTGTATTTGTTGGATAATTACACTGGTAAACCAGAAAAGTACACAATCTAGGTCTCACTTCTTAGATATTAAGACTAAAACCAAAAGCCAAACTAAAAGAAATAGCTACTACAACTAAACTAAATTTATGGCTTGTACAATGAACAAAAACAGCATTATGATTAAGAGCTTATATTAGAAGCAACTCCTTTATATTCTACTCCCATAAATACTGTACCATCATACCCTTGGCCTCTACAAATTTGAATATCAAGTCCAAAAAGTCTCTTGAAATGTATTAAGTAATTTTAGTAAATTTAGAGATAGAAAGTAAATTTAGAGATAGACTAAGACCAGATGTACCAATCTTGCAACCAATAAATGGTAGGAAATCCACGCAAATCTCATTACTTGAATTTAAATATCTTAAAAAAAGTGACATTTGTTCAGTATTTGATCAGTTAACTGCTTCATCACAAAAAAAATAATTTGAATGCTTATTAAAGCTACCTCAATAGTTTTCCCACAAAAATCAATAAGTTGGTTTTAAGTAGTTTTTGGACATAAAAAAAGATGATTAGCTAATATTTGATCACCAACATCAACTCAAATTTTTAAAAGCTGTATAAAGTTACCTTTTTCAACCAAGGAATATTATTGTTTTAGTTATAGGAAAAAAATTTTTTCAGTCATCAGAAAAATGCTTTAAACAAGAATTGTTTAAATCAACCTCAATAACATTACTTTTGGGGTTGCAACGTAAATGTAATGCATTGTAAAACACAACTTTTGTCATGTTTTTTAAAATCATGAACAGCATTACCCCATTCTTGATGAGGCTTGAAAACTAAATTTAGCATTCCAGACTTATTCGGAATACTAGCACATAGCAAGGTAAAAGGAAAACAGTAAACTCAATCTTTTTTGTTAGAACAAGCTAGCCAAAAATAGTGGCCTAGTCATTCAATTTAAATGATTTTTTTGTATTAATAGTCTATTAAATATCTATTAAAAAGATATTGGAAAAACAAATATAGAATTTGGACCAAATACTTTGTTTACCATATCTATCAAAATTGCATCGTCTTTGCCAGCGGTTAAAAGTTTACCATGGGTTAGATATGTTAAAACATTATATAAAGTATTTGAGTCTTTATATAAAAGAAATATTAACTTGGTTGGAATCTAATCACTCAAATATTTCAAAATCTATAGAAAGTTCAAAAGGCATCTCTATAAAAGCATTGTCTTTTTTAAAGTTAATTTTCGATTGGATTTGACATGTTTTGCAGAATTAACTTTTTCTGTAAAAGAATCATCACATAATTGCTTTTTATTTGTTTCATTTTTAGGACTATTAAAGTGTAAAGGATAAGTAAAAATAAATAAAAAAAGTATATAAAACAAGATCAGTTTATTTTATTTTCTAGCTGGAAATATATAACACCATTAACTTTAGTAATAGAGTTTTACCTTAAAGCACCATAATCTTTACTATTGTCTGTCTTCCGGATAAAACAATCCATTTTAGAATTTAAGACTGACTCTATGGCTGCACTGGACACTTGTTATTTAAAATTTTTAACTCTTTAGTTAACTGATTTTTACATTTGTGAATATTTTGCAAATACCTAGCCTTAATTGCATTTGAAACTAAAAAATTCATCTTTGTTTCAAAACTTAAATTTACTAGCAAAGTCCTATGACAAAAATTATTAGCAAAGTACGTGTATCAAGTGGCATATCAGAATTTTGTAAGTTTTGAATGATTTGGAACTACTGATGCAATTGTTCTAAACTTTCACCAAAATTGATTGGTTAATAAAACATTCTCCTATCATATTTAAAACACTTTTGGATTTTTTTGCGGAAGGTTTGTAGCAACTGAGGCAATTGTTATTTTAATAAATAATGATTGGTTTAAACTGTTTTTTAACCAATCATTTATGATTTAGAAAACGATTGCATCACTTGCTACAAATTGATAGGAAAAATTTGTAAAAACATACAAATACGATTGGTTAAAGCCAAAAATATTTCTTCTTTAACCAATCACATTTGTATTTGGTGAAGAACAATTGCATCAGTTGCTCCAAAACGAAGAAAATTTTCTCTAAGTAACGAATAAGTAATTATAAAGATCAAATAAAATCGAGTTCAGATGTAATAGTTTTTTTCGAGTTTAAAAAAAAACTATTATATCTTATTCTAAAAAATAAATTCTACATTTTTTGAGAATATCAGATTCTAATTTCTACTTTAACTTTTTATTATGAAAAAAAAGTGAAAAAGTGATTTAAGCAGTGCAAAAGGACTGATACTTGCGCATCAGTGGCGACACCCTAGATCCCCCCTGAATATATTTGTTGAGCCATTTCAAAAAAGCCTATATTCAAACATTGTCCAAAATCTGGAAACCAATGGAAACCAGGAATCATTCTATAAAGAAAAACGAATTCAGACAGCGCATTAATAGAAAACAAACTTCCGATTACATTTAAATTATGTACTTTTAACTCCCCTGGACTTTAAGTCAAATATTGAATATACTGAGTCATTATAACTTCTCATGATATAACATTTATATGCAAACATTGGTTATCAAAACTAGAATATCCCATTATCAAATATATTTGTAAAAATACTCACTCTTCATGCTTTAGGTAAATAAACACAAGCATGGTTGACCATTTGGTAGAAATGGGTTTCTTGTTTGGAAAGATTTGTTTCAAAATGTCATTATTCTCTAAAGTTGATCATATTCTTGTAATTAACTTTGTTAAAAATAATATTAACATTATCATTTTTGGTATTTATCTCTTTTTATTGCAAAATAATTGAATGTCTTTGGATGAATACACGAAACAATTAGATAAAATTAAAGACCTTATTAATAATTATGAGAGTAATTGTTATTGGTGATTTTCAATCGTTTTCTGACAGAATATGTGATTTAAGATTTATTAAGAATATAAGATTTATTAGAAAGATCAAACTTCATAAAAAATAACTACTCCACAGCTATATAACAATTTATAAAAAAAATGATTTGAACTAGTAGACGCAATGAAAGGTTCTGACACAAAAATAATGTACAAACATCATACATTACTAAACGCATCTTGCATAAATCATATAGCTCTCTCAAGGAATTCTTTTCTTTAATATGAGAGTTGTATTGTAGCCCCTTTTACATCTCAAAATACGAGTGATCATTTGCTAATATCAACTGTAATTAAACTTAGCAGGCAATCTCTCCAAGAAAATATTAACAAAATTATAGACAATAATAGCATTCCTAATTATGTCTGAAATAACCAAAATTTTGCACAAATATATAATTAGTGTTTAAATAACAGTTTAGCAATTACGACAAAGAACTTATTGAAATCTATTCTTCTATTACAAAAAGTGCATCTGATACTGTTAGCCAACACTTATTCTTGAAAAAACAATCTTTATATTCAAAATCATGGTGGACTCCTGAGTTAAGCAGGAGCAAAAAAGTACTTACATTTCATTTTAAGAAATGGCATGAGATGGGTTTCAAAAAAGAAATAACCAAAAAAATTTTCTGCAAAGCTGCCGAATAAACTCAAAATTGTAACCTTTAGAAACTCAAAACTATTTACTATAAATGATAAAAAGGACAAAGAACTGACGCATACTGTTTCGAATTTTCAAATTTCATTTTCAAATTTCCTTGTATCAAATTTGATGTAACAATATTATCAGATTAAAATATTAAAATAGTTACTCTAGTCTAAAATTAAACTAGACCAAAGATGTGTTTGAAATTTCTGCAAAACATTTAAAACATGCACGTTGCAAAGCACTAACAGAGCGGCTAAAAAAGTTCTTTAACTTTACTTAATTAAAGTAAGGCCCAAAAATCAATGTCTACGTCAATTATTTTACCTCTTGCTAAATCTTATAAATTTTTTTTTAACTGATTCGAATAACTACCGTGGTATTAGCATCATTCCAATCTTTATAAAACTAATAGAATATCTTATTTTAATAATCTGTCCAGATATAAAAGAAACTCATCCTCTTCAATTCGGCTTAGAAAAAAATATCTCAACTTTACATGCCGAAATTGTTATAAGTGAAACAATTAAACACTGCAACAACAACAACTCATCTGTCTATCTCTGTTCCCTAGATGCTGAAAAAGCATTTAACAACTGTAGCTGGGACAATCTATTTAAGAAACTATACAACAATGAAAAATTACCGCTTTATATTATTAATACTATATTGTCATTGTAGACCATAAAAGCAGTGCTTCTGTCACTTATCTACGATGCAAGTCATATCTATTTTATCTAACACAAGGAGTGAGACAAGGATTAATTCTGTCTCCTCACCTGTAATAATCAAAGCTAATTTGAAATCATACAAAATGAAAGTATCATAGGGACATCAACATCTTTTTAATTCCAGACAGGTTCTAACCTGTCTAGAATTAAAAAGCTTATAGCAGCTTGTTATATATACACTAACACAAATTGTATAAAGTTAAATGCTGAGTTCTAAAGAACCGAATGCATAACAAAAAAAAAACAAAAGTAAAAATTATTGTCTTAAAAAATACAATTCCTAAAAAAGATCTTCAGAAGTTAGACTATACAGTTGAGTTCTGAAACTATTTAAAGCAAAGGAAAATTTTCAAAGATATTCAGCCTTATATATATATATATATATATATATATATATATATATATATATATATATATATATATATGTATATATATATATATATATATATATATATATATATATATATATATATATATATATATATATATACATATATATATATATATATATATATATATATATATATATATATATATATATATATATATATATATATATATATATATATATATATATATATATATATATATATATATATATATATATATATATATATATATATATATATATATATATATATATTAAAGTAGCTGAAAACGATCTCGTTTTAAAACATTGTGATCATTATTATTTCAAAGAGTCATATAGATAGTTAGATAGTATAGTAAGTCAAGGTTTCAGTATAAGTAAACAAAATACTTCATATATATTTCAAGATGGCCTTGGATGTTTGTTAGAGAAAAGCTTCTGTTCTATCAATAAGTCAGAGTGCTTTTACTTTAATATTAGATAAAACAACTATAGCACATCAAACAAAACAAATCTTCTATGTCGTTTTTGGTCAGAAGAAGAGAATCAAGTTGTTACAAAATATTTAACATCGCTGTTCTTTGGCAGAGCAACAGCTGAAGATGTCAAAAAAAAAAAAAAAATGCTTTATATTTAATTTATATTTAATTACAGTTTTAGTTTGTTTTTTTAAATATACTTAAATAGTTTAATTTGTATTTATTACATGTCCTGTTTATGAATATTATAGTTACTTAAGATTTTGTTATTTTGTTAGTTAACTTAGTTTTCCCTTAGATTTAAATATTAATTTTTTCATAAGAGTTTTATCTTTACTTTTGTGAAAGATGAATGGAAATTGTATCAAGCAGTTAATATCTCAAAAGACTGGTATTCAGATTCTGATACAAAAAATCAAAAAGAATTGACTATTACTGGACTAAGTTTTTAAAAGTGACAAGGAATGTGGAAAAACTAAGTATCTGTATATCAGGATATTTGTGAAGAGCTGTTTAACTATTCAGAATGTAAGTGCTAGTGCAGAGCGAAGCTTATCAGACAATGAAAATAAACTGACTTCAAAGCGAGTAAAACTAAATGAAACATTAATGGCTTTGAGAAAATCAAAGGAATACACAAGAAGTTGCAATTGAGCATATAATGTTGATCCTCTCTCTAAAGACGTTGTTTAATTTGTGCAAAATGCTAACAGAATATATTAACAAAAAAAAGCTAAGGAAGAAGAAGAATAATATTCATAAACAAGAACTTAATGATAAAGAAAAATAACACAGAAATGCTTGAAAAAGTTAAAAAAAACAAACAATAAAAACCTAGATCAAAGGGAAAAAAATCTTAAAAATGATAAGAAAAATGCAAATCTAGTCAACTTGTTCAGAGAATGCTGGATGAAGCGACCAAGTCTATGCAAAGTGGCATAAATAATAAAGGCATGATAGCTATAAAAATTGGCTATGAAATGGTGCAAAAAAAAATCTTTTAAATGCTACAGCGCATAGAAATGAATATAGATAAATACATATATATATATATATTATATATATATATATATATATATATATATATATATATATATATATATATATATATATATATATATATATATATTTATATAAATATATATATATATATATATATATATATATATATATATATATATATATATATATATATATATATATATATATATATATATATATATATATATATATATATATATATATACAAAGATCTTACCATAAAATATAGAATCGAGGTCAGCAAGTTTTTGCCAACCTCAAACACTTTTAGGTAGACAGTTAGGTTGGGCCGACTGTCTATGTATATATATATGTATATATATGTATATATATATATATAATATATATATATATATATATATATATATATATATATATATATATATATATATATATATATATATATATATATATATATATATATATATATGTATATATGTATATATATATATTTATAAATTATTATTATTTACATAAATTTTAAAATTCTAAAACAAATTATGTTGGAAAGCATGAAAGCTTCTGTTTGTTCTTGTTTAATTACTTAAAACTTAGAGTTATCATTTCTTGTAAAAAAAAAAAGATAAAACTGATTTATAGGGTAAAAAAATTAATGTTGCACTGTAAACATTTTATCAAATTACAGTTTAGGAGGGTAAAAACAAAATATCATATCAAGTAAGTTGAACAAACATAATCCTATGTAAACAAAATTATGAGTAAATTCATCATCAGTTTAACACATTGTTTTATTAATACCTTTTTTAATGCAACATTAAAGTCGTTAATAATAATTAATATAATAATATATTTATATAATAATTTTTATTATATATTTTTATACAAATTATTATAAATGCAACCCTCGGAATTAGGAAAAATGAGGTTGGTAATAATTTGTCGACCTCAATCTTTTTGAGGTTGGCAAAAATTATTTGATACAAAGGTCTGACCATAAAACATAAAAACCAGGTCAGCAATTTATGCCGACCTCAAGCACTTTCAGGTCGGCAGTTAGGTCGGCATTGCCGAATGCTGACCCAAGTTCTGAGGGTTGTAAATGACTTTTAAATACATATTATTATTATTTATATAACAAAAATATATATATTTTTATAACATATAATATTAGTAAGTATGAAAAATAATTTTAAAAATGATTTAAAAGTTTAATTTTTATATTGTTTTTATAGATATTTTCCATATATTTATAACATCAGTGGGTATATGGATTCATTAAAGAAGTTCGGAGATTTTTTTGATTACAACCTAAATCCTCGTGCTCAGATATTTAAAAGAGATCATATGAAGGTATCAGACATGCAATCATTAATTAAACTAATGAGGTATTTTTTAAATAGGAAATTGAACTAGGGGAAAGCGGGGCAACATGGCGAATGGGGCAAGATGGGTTTTCATATAATAACTTAACAAAAATTCTTAAAATTGGGTGAAAACGAAACTTTATTTGCATATTGTATTTTAAAACACCAATTAGTTTTTTGAAATATTATTATTGCAATTTTATACGCATAAGTATACTTTTTGCGCTTAAAAAAAAATTCCTCACTTTCGGTTTCTCATGATGAATGGTGTCCTTCAAGTTTAACTTCTTTAGAAGTAGTTTTTTGCAATTTGTGTTTATTTTTTGTTACTTTATTTAGAGATATTGGTAGTTTTTAAAATTTTATAAAATTGGAAGTAAAAATAGCATAATAAGTCATCTTGCCCCGGTCACGTGATCAGATGACAAATTTATGAACTTTTTATTTTAATATTTATTTCAAGTTGTTATATTTGCAAACTGAAAGTTCATGCAGGTAATGAAGGATTTTAATAACATAAACATACTGAGAAAGTATTATTGCTTCACGACTGATAGTTTTGTAATAGCTCAGGGCTTTCAAAACGTTCGCCATGTTGCCTCGCTTTCCCCTAATTTAAATTTTTTTTGAGGAAATGTTGAAGTGTTTTCGAAATAAAGTTTGAAAATATAAAGTTGTTTTTTTTTGTCAACATAAAAATATAACAAAAAAAAACAAAAAAATAAAAGTAAAACAAAAACAAAAATCATAACAGAAAACTAATTATATTATATTTTAAACTTATTTTTTGAACATTGTTTATTCCCAGTTATGTCATAACTTATGACTCATAAGTCAGCTTTTTTCCAGTTATGTCATACGTCAGTTTTTATGGATGAAATTAAGAATATAATCAAAATGTTTTTTTTTATATATTTAAAAAAACAAAAAAAAAAGTATTCAAAATTTCTCATTGTAAACTATATTATGTTATTATAAACTATTGTTTATAAACATTGAAAATTAGGAAAATAATAAGAGAAATAAATGAACTAGCTTGTTCATATTTTATTTAGTTTTTTTAATTTAATAGTTGATTCGAAAAGTTATTTAATTGTTGTAATTACAGTGACAATTGTAAAAAAAAAAAAAAAAAAAAAAAAAAAGATAGAAATAAGTATATAAGCAATGGGTTTTTCAAAGTCAACAGTTTTGAATAAAAAAAAATAAGTATATAAGCAATAGATTTTTAAGTCAAATGTTTTAAATGAAATAAATTAAATATATAAGCAATAGGTTTTAAAGTCAACAGTATTTAAGTTATCAATTTAACAAGATTATAAAAAGATAGTGAAAATAAACAAGCTAAAAATCAAAACCAAAATAAATATATCAAGGTTTTAAAATAAATATATCACAATTTTAAAATAAATATATCATGGTTTTAAAATCAATATTTCACAATTTTAAAATAAATATATCCCAATTTTTAAATAAATTCACAGTTTTAAAATTTTATTCTAACTTTGACTATATTTATATTTAAGCAATTTCTTAAAATGAAAACTTAAGTATAAATTATGAAGTATATTATTTAATATTCAGTTATACACAATTTTATTATAAAATATAGAATAGTATACTATTATATTATGTAGTAGAGTCAAACAGGGTAAAATAAAATAGAGAATACAATCAAATAGTTATAAAGTTTATTGTTTAATATTATTGTTTAATATTTTATTTGCTCATAGTTATTTATTAACTAGTTAATAAATTCAATAAAAAAAGCATAAAACTCTTAGAAGTGAAATTTGCTATTAATTAACTTAGAACTTTTTATAACTTAGAATACCAGTTAAATATATTTTTTTGAAATTGCTATTTATTATAAAATGCTATGTGTTAAAAACAAAAATTGTAAACTATACGGTTGAATAAAACAAGACAATTATTAACATGGTAAATAAGGCTCTATTAATCAATTATGTCTGACTTGAAAAATGAGCCTAGTTTTAGTTATAAAATGCAAGGTAATAAATTTTAGTTGTTAAAAGACAAATGACACATACCAACTATCATGTCGTACTCACAATGAATAAAATATATTTTATTTTTATAGAAAAACTATTGGTGCAAGCCATTTCAACAGTTTTATGTAGCAGCAAAGTTAAGAAATCTCTAAAAAGAATAATTAAGTCAACTGCAAGCAAAATCTTTTAGCTTTGGTAATGTTTTAAATTGCAAATAATCACTAGATTTCAAAACCAGTTTGTGTAAGCTTAACATCAATAAAATAAATTAAAACTGCATTTTGCTAATAGCACAAAAGCAGCAAAGCAAATAAAAAAACAAAGTGAGCCCAATAAAAATAAAATAAATAAAAATATTAAATAAAAATAATGTAAGGTTAACTTTGATGATGAGCAGCAAATAAATTATGCATTAACAACAGCTTCAACCCCAGCTGAATCAAAGCGCAACTCAGAAAAAAGGTTAGGCTTGGTTTCTGTTGCGTGTTTTAAACCTTTTAAAACAAAACAAATAACATGTGCATAGAATGATTTTCATTCTGTGAAATTAACTATTACTATATACCATAAATACCAGTTAAAATACTAATGGCTTCACCGTTATGGAAATGTAGTATTTTATTATAATAAATTTCCGTAAGAAATGTAAAACCACTGATAAAATTTAACTTTATATCCTCAAAAAACATATGCTAATCTTGCCCGTAAAATACACATGTTTTTAGTTTACCCTGGTACATAAGTACAGTGAACCTTGCACTATTTAATGAACCAAATTGTACTTTAGTTAATTTTTTTTTAATCCATTTATTTAACCAAATAGTTGAAATAGTTACAAAGTGATTTATAATTTCACAAAATTTTGTTCAGTGTCACTCATATAGTTAAAAACTAGTCATTAGAGTGACAACTTAATAAAATAAACAAATAAAGCAAAAAAAAGTAATATAGATAGGGACCAAAATAAATTTGAACAAAATAAAATGAAGAAAAAAATATTTAAAAAAGCAAGACAAATAACACTAAAAAGGGCACAAGTAAATAAACTGAAATAATAGATAACGAATGAATTAGATAACGCAACGTTTGACGATCAGAAGGATGATAAAAATAATGAAGAAAATAAAAAGAAAAGGATATTTTTAAATATCATGAGACAAAAAATAAAAAATAGTTTGAGTAATAGCAACAAACATAAAAAGCAACAACAATAAAAATATTTAGCAACAAGACCACAAAAAAAATGCATGTCAGCATAAATAATACACAATTTTACACATCAATATAAACGATACACAAAATTAAACAACAGTATAAACAAAACATGTAAGTACACGACAATATAAAAGAATACACTAAAACACACAACAGTATAAACAATCTATAAAACATAAAAAAATAAAACTTAATTGTAATAACTTCAAGTTTTTTATTTTCGAATTTATCACGAACATTTTTATTTTTTTAACTTTTTTTATTTTTTACAATTTTTATTCTTTAACATTTTAATTGTTTTCACTTTATTTCTTTTATTTTTCAAAACTTCTATTCTAAAAACTTTTTTCATTGTTTTTCAAAAAAAAATTGCTTCCTCCTTTTGTGATGTCATTGCAAGGAGTTATAGCTAAATGCTCTCTTCCAGAATTACATTTAATACAAGGATTCGTCAATCATCTTTTCTGGAAGGGAATATTGCCACTTTTAGGCAAAGAAAAAGCTATGCTATGGCCGTTAAAGTTGAAACTGATTTCAAAAAATTACTGATTTCAAAAAATGAAAAATTGATAACTATTTTAGAAGCAGTTTTTACTGATTAACATTAAAATTTTTAAACTCCTGTTTTGTCTAGGGTGAGGTTTTTGAAGGAAATCAAAAACCTCACCCTAGTGAGGTTTTTGATTTCCTTGTTTTGTGAGGTTTTTGAAGGAAATGTCGCAAGCTACTCAACATGCAGATAAACTTCTTGATGTTGATGTCCTTGGTAAAGTTAGCCCGTTATTGTTGTTGCCTTTAGTTTCATAGTTAAAAGCAATGGATAATGTTGTCAAAAGTTGTTTTGGAACTGGAAAAGTTTCTCAAAATTAATCTCTTTACCTGCAAGTTTTGAAGACAGACCTAAAACTCTCAAATTGCACACTATTTCTTGAACACATTGAACAATGCCTTTGTGAACTAAAATCAGATTATGGACTAGGACTTGCATCGGAACTAGCTGAAGAGTCAATCCATAATTTTTAAAGTATTGGATGCAATATCAAATTAATATAATCACTAACGTGTCATATGGGTAGCAGTTTATGAAATCTGTGCTGGAATTAATTCTAGACATTTAATTTTATTTGTTGATTTTTTGTAATATTTTTTTTATTTATCATGAAAATATCGGTTAAAACAATGTTTTACTTCTTTTGATTCTAATTCACTTTGCAATTGCTTCAATTGAAAAATATGCAGAAATGTGGTTCTTTTGCTTATTGAAAAATATGCAGAAATTTCTTTTGCTTATTGTAGGTCTATAATAACTTTAAAAAGCACTGACAGCTGAAGTACTAATAACAACTTTTTAACTTTTACTGTAGAGTTTTGTTCTTAACTATGGGCCAGATAAAAATATGTATTTTAAATTAATGGTTAAAATTAAAAGTTGGTTAAAAATCATGGTTGAGCAGTTTCTGTTTTAATTTCAACAAATTTGCGATCTACAAACAAAGTTCTAAAAGAATCTGAAAACAGTTTTTGTTGACATTTTTATCGATCTTAAATTTATTCAGGACAAGTATGATCTTCGAAAAAAACACACTTAAAAACAAGAATCTTTTTGTGTTTTTTTTTTTGTACAAGACATCGTATCGCACATGTTCTAGTTCGAATCAATTTCTATTTTTTGCAGATAAGCTAAGTTTTGCAGTTATAGTGTTATAAATAGTTAGCATCAACTGCTCACAAACATTAGAAACATTCCTAATTTTAAATAATAAAAATTAAACTTTAATATGAAGAAAGTCATAATTTTAATATGATAACAATTTATAACTTCATTATGAAGAAAATTATTTTATTTGAATTTTGTTATTTTACTCTTACTTGCTAATTAATTGTCTACTGTCTTATTGCATATTTTAAAATTATCTAATTCAAAGAACCATTTCATCTATTGGTTATTTTTAATTGGTTTTTATGATCAAATGAAATTATCAATTTAAATTTAGTTATTTTTAGGTTTATTTTTATAAAAAATAAAATTTTTCACAATTTTTACTTTTGAGGTTTTAACAATAAATAAATTTTATAAGTTTTAGTATTTTATTTTTTATATAGGTATAACAATTTTCAAAATGACCCATTTGCAAAATGTAATTGCACTCCTTCACACAATGCTGCAAATGCGATTTCTTCTCGCAATGATATGAACCCAGCTAATGGAAGCTATCCGTTTAGTGATCTCGTTCATGATAAGTTTGGAGCAATTGATTGCAAAGTATGTCTTTATGTTTTTAAAGTTAAATTAGTTGATAAAAAGTTTTGCGTCTTAAAAATTAGGATTAGATTTTGATATAGGATTAAAGTTTGCTAAAACTATTTTCAACAATAAAAATTTGTTTGTTATTTAAAAAAGAAGTAAAGTAAGCATAATTTTCTATAATAAATCACAAATATTTTTACAAATATTTTTAAAAAGTTTTTTTATGTATTACTAACATTATTTTAGTTTTTATATATTAATTTATTTATTCTATCAATATTAATATTTTTAAAATTAGGGATTGCAATCCCAGAGTTCTTTCTCAATCCCGAGATTCGGAGATTGAAAAATCCCGCGATTAAAAACAGATAAACATCTACATAGTATGTAGTAATTAAACATGTAATTAATGTTAAGAAATTATGTTAGAAATACGACTGAAGAAAGCATAACGCGTCTGAAGTTTATGGTTACAAATTTTTGTATTGAACAGTCCAGTAAAAAAAAAAGCCCGCTCAGCCTCAACACTTGTCGGTTTCATGGTGATTAGAAATAAAAAAGCTCTTTCTAACTAGTTGCTACGTGTACCATTATTTTTAAATATTGTCATTCTTTTTTGAACTAATACAACCAGTTAGGCATACTACTCCGCCATGTCTTGTAATCTTCTGTTAAAGACAATTGTTTACCAAAGCAGCAATTTACCAAACTTTTGTAAGATGTAAGATTTTGTTCTTGGTAGGTGTAGATGTGTAGGTGATTATTGAAATATTAGTAACACTTTCTATACTTTTTTTATGACTGGCATATAATGAAATTTATTTAGTTCAATTTTAGGTCTTACATTTTCATGATTGTAGCCCAGTAGTTGATTAGCAGCCAGCAACCTTCCCACTTTCTTCATAACACTAGCTCTATCGGTCATTAAAGCCACTAATTTTCAATTAGGGCGGTATCCAAATATGGTTGATGCTACCAAAAACGGTCTAGAAATGCCCCTGTAAATGAAAGCTGGTCAGATGCCCATAGGCCAATAAGTGTAGCATAAAGTGTCTTATCTTCCATTTTATAAATCAAAAAGTATTCTGTTAGTGGTTTAGATTTCTTTTTTAGTGATTTATCTGATGCGCTTTATTTGGTAATATTAGGTTGGGTTGGACTTTCGACCTTCACATTATGCACCAACAGCATGTGTATTCAAAGTCCTTTTGTTGAACCACCACCAATTTTTAAAATCTTCTTGCATTATGGTAGTTTACACATTGCTGTCTGGTCTTTCTCATCCCTTTGAAAATATTTCCCAACAGCTGAATTACTTTTAATTATAAAATCCACATACCTCATGCTTATCTAATTTTTTATTTTGAGAGTCTTCCTTTTAAAAAAGGCGTTTTTTTTTTCAGTTTGAAAAATGTTTATTTTGCAGAATAACAAAACAGAATAGAATAACTAAAAGTAGTAAGCTAGCATGTTATAACAATATTTTTCATTGTTAGTTTAAAGGTTAATAATCTCTTTTTTTAAAATAGTATATTAAATTTTTAAATTGTGTATATGCTAACCAACATGATATATTGTAAAGATTATTACTTTTTTTCTTCTCTAAATCAAACCTTTTTTATAAATTTTTTATTGTAAAACTGAAAATACAATTACTTTTTGCAATTTTATTTTAATTAAAAATTATTTATTGATACACATAAATTATTGTTATTTTATTTAGTTTTTCATTACAATTTGTTATATTTAACCTTATAGGGAAACCAAGGATTAATATTAGATAATTATTTTAAATTAATAAGTTATAATTTTGACTCACGTTCTTGTCATGTCATGCCTTACCATGTCATGTCATAACATAACTATGGTAAGAGTTTCAACATACTACATATAATTTAGAATGTGAATGTTGTTGTGTTCAGTTTGACATGAGTATTTATATTTTGCAGTTTTAGAGAAACTAGGTTGATGTAAAAATTTTATTGAAATGTGTTATTTTTTCATTAAAAATTATAAATTTTCATTAAAAATTATAAATTTATTTTGTTTTGTTACTTTTCAAATTGCAAATTTCATTATATAATATTAAAAAGCACTACAATATAATTTAAATAAATGTAGTAATAAATATCAAGGTATAAATTTTTGAAAAAAATTTATACCTTGATATATATATATATATATATATATATATATATATATATATATATATATATATATATATATATATATATATATATATATATATATATATATATATATATATATATATATATATATATATATATATATATATATATATATATTTGAGGAAAATTAATATTTAGTGGGGTATCCTTTTGAGTCAATAACCGTTTGACAACAAGGGCCCATTGAGGAGATCAAGTTTTGGCATCGTTCAGGCGTAATGGCGTCCCAAGCAGCTTTTATTTCGACCCAAAGATGGTCTAAATTTGTTGCAGTTAAACCGTTTATGTTTCTATCAACTTCCTCCCTCAAATTTTCTATTGGATTTAGGTCTGGTGACTGTGCGGGCCACCCTAAAACGTCAATCTTATTAGCGGTAAGCCATACTTTAATACTTTTGGCGGTGTGCTTGGGGTCATTGTCTTGTTGGAATTTCCAAACTAGAGGGAGATTTTCTCGGGCATATGGCAACATCACATTTTCCAGTATTTCTTTGTATATATGTTGATCCATCGTGCCTTGAATTCTATACAACGGGCCTACTTCACTCCATAAAAACTACCCTAAACAATCACCTTGCCACCACCATGTTTAACGGTCTTTAAAGTATACTGAGGGCTGAGTTCTTGATTCTGGGGACGACGAACTTATTGCTTTCCATCGGATCCAAAGCGATTGAACTTAGACTCGTCAGTCCAAAGCACATTTTTCCAAAAACGCAAGTCCTTGTGTACGTACTAATTTGCAAACTTCAAACGGCTGACGAGATTACGTTTTGAGACCAATGGTTTTTTTTTCGAGCAACCCTTCCAAACAGCTTATTTTCGCGTAACCGACTTTTGACTGTGCTGACAGACAGATTGAGTTTTAGATTTTGAGCAATTTGTTCTTTTATTTTTGGTGCGCCAGCAAAAGGATTCAGCTTAGCAATACGAACAATGGCTGCGTCTTCTCTGGGGGTTGTTTTTCGTTCGCGAAACGCGTTTTTTGTTGCTTAATGAACCAGTGTTGTTAAATAATTTAATAGCACTGATAACTTTCTTACGAGAACAACCAAATCTTCGAGCTATTTGAGAATTGTTCAATCCTGGATCTCGATATGCCTGTACTTGTCCTCGAAAGACATCTGTTCCATGTTTACCACGTCCCATAATTGACAGAAAATTATTATTTTATTATTTTTTGCTAAAAATATACAAGAATATACTTAGAATATTAAATAGAATGATTATCTTTTGATATATTACAAAAATTTAGTTTTTTTATAATAAAATGCTAATGTGGGCTATTTAAAATGTCCTCAAAAATGTAAGCACGACCGCTAAAATGCCTCAAACAAGCAATTTTTACAGTTATAAATATAAAATGAGTAATGCTGTTCAAAAATGTAAACATTTTTGATGCTATATATATAAAAAAAAGTTGCAATAAAAATAAAAATATTGGTACCAAAAAGAAAAACCAACTGGTTATGAAAGTGTACTATTTATTTTGTTGCCACTGTATATATATATATATATATATATATATATATATATATATATATATATATATATATATATATATATATATATATATATATATATATATATATATATATATATATATATATATATATATATATATATATATATATATATATATATATATATATCATACATATATATATATATATATACACATATATATATGTATATATATATGTATATATATATATTTACATATATATATATACATATATATATATATATACATATATATATATATATATATACATATATATATATACATATATATATATATATATATATATATATATATATATATATATATATATATATATATATATATATATATATACATATATATATATATATATATATATATATATATATATATATATATATACATATATATATGTATATATATATTTATGTATATACATATATATATATATACATATATATATATACATATATATATATATACATATATATATATATATATAAATATATATATATATATATATATACATATATATATATATATATATATATATATATATATATATATATATATATATATATATATATATATATATATATATATATATATATATATATATATATATATATATATATATATATATATATATATATATATATATATATATATTATTGCTTAATCTCTTCATAATTTTGCGTTGTGAAGTTATTAAAACCCTCTGAGACTGCAATATGATATTACTAAATCTTTAAAAAAAAAAAAGCAAGCTTTCAGAATTTCCTGAATCTCCTAAAATTAATATAGGTTTTGTCGAATAAAAGAATTTTTGAGATGTTAGTAAAGAGAAGATTTCAGTTGTTTACTTCATTAAGGCTGTTGCCGGGTTTAATAAAATGAGTGAATCCTATTTGAAATTATGCTCTAGTCAGTCACTAATGTTTTATTTATTATAAACTATTATTGTTTATTATTAAATTTAAGTTACGCGAAACAAAATTAATCCTGAGCAAACAAGCTACCTCGTATGGTTGCAGAAATATAGCCACGGAAAATGATAAACTGTGTTAGCTATAGCTAACAGTTATTTATATTTGATTAAGTTTACTGATTTAATATATTAGAGGCATTGACAATCTTGTCTGGCAGTGAGTTCCAATTAATTGCAATCCGGTTGTTAAAAAGGTTATCGAACCAGGCAGTTAATATTAATACTTCGCGACGAAAGCATTTGCAAAGACCATATATAGGAGTGGATAATGGTTTTAAGTTTTCCAGTTAATTGATTCTGTTTCGTTTTCAAGTTTGAATTTTTTGATAAAACTAGCCCGCTTTATACTGTCACTAAGTGAAGTTAAGCCAAGTTTAACACATTTTATCTTGTAGTCAAAGCGTTTCAATCGAAGGGGTATCTTTGTGATATGATGTTGAATACGCTTAACTGCATTAATGTCTTTTTTAAGGTACAAATCAGTTATAGCATATTCTAGATTAGAAACAGAAATTTTGTGTAGAGCTTTTTCCCGATTTTCTCTTCTCTTCTAAAAAATGTTTGCTTTAAAACATATTATCAATGAAATATATAATACAGTTCTGATTAACATATTATTTACTATATTATATATTATAAGCTTTTTTAATTAAATGTAATATAAGCTTGTTGCGTTTTATTAATTATGCACATATCTTCTCACTTTTTATTAATTATGCACTTATCTTTAAAAGATCCTTTGAAATCATAAATTAGCATGCGTTGTCATATTATTGTTGTCATATTTATATTTGTGCCTGCTGTTATGATTGTAATATTTAAGTATATTTTTAGGCAACGAGTTTTCAATTGTCAAAATTAATGTCTCAGTTCATTGTTGGCGGTCCAACATATGACCAACAACCACCTTTTCAATGGTCGAAAACAGAATGGAATCGACCACTTGGTCATCCTGATATTTTTAAATTTAATCCAGAATTGCTAGATTGGAGAAAGGAGGAGTGGATTTATTCAAAGTTAAATATATAATCAATTATTATGTATACACACACAAATATATATATATTAATATAAAAATAGTGGTTGCTTTGCAGAAACTTACTTTTATTACGGCATTTTTAAAGAGTAAAATAATTAGTTTTTATACAAATAGTAAACACATTTTTCGGAAAGATAATTTTGCTTGGTATGTACAGTGTAGACGCTCAAACATACATTACTTATAATTTTCAATTTATAATTTTTAATCAATTTAAAATTTGAATCTAAAAATAACAATTTCTTTGACATGTCAATGTTAAAAAAGTCGTTATTTTTTATTTTACTTGTCTCCAATGTTAACAAAAAAAATCTATTGTTAAAGTGAATGTTATTGTAGTAATTCTTTTCTTTATTATTATCTTATTATCCTTATTATAGTAAGCTTAAATATTATTTTTACACTTACTTTTCCCATTTTATATTTTATTGCTGTAATAAACCATATCCATCGTTGATTAATTTTTTTTTGTGCTTAATCTGTAATGTTTATATCATGTTAATAGATTTTTCCTTCTACGTTTCACAAAAATAAATCTACTAAAGTTAATCAAATCTAGTGATTCTTTTGATCTGATTTAAAAATACGAAAAATACGTTCAAAAATATGAAAATACTAGTGATAAGTGTGCAGACCATTCGGGTCAGGGATCTCACGTAATATTCAAACAATTATGTTTTACCAATTATACCACCAATCAGAAGAAAATAATAAACACCCTTTTTCTATTTTTTACAACGATTTTACATAGACGTAGAGTCTAAATGGGAGTTCAAAGAAAAAATTATACTTACTAAAAGGGTAAAATATTATTTTTGAAGATAGAACTTATTTATTTGGTTCTCGTTCTAAAGAATGTAAAAATGCAGAAAAATAAATATGTCAAAAAGTTGTGTTTATTCCCTACTTCTAATTGATAGTTCCAATGGCGTAGGAAGGTTTTTAAATGTTTGAAATAACCAACTTATAAACAACAAGAATTATCCAATTTTTTTTACGTTCATATGTATGACGAAAATATTCTTTAAAAAAAAATTACTGTGATAAGAGAATGGGAACAAGAAACCCTAAAATCTTAGCCCCCCTTCCTGCCACAAACGTGAGTGCATCAAGTTGATGAAATATTTTTTCTACTATTTTCAACTCCACTTATATTCATCGAGAAATTTTAAATTTCATAGTAAAATATTTTAGTGTTCAAAAATGACCATGTAAAGTTTAAACCCTCTCATTTTGAGGGGGTTGCAAACTTTATATGGTCATCACAGTAAAAGCAAATTATTGAAGAACTTGAGAAGAAGATTTCCGATAAAATAATTATTTTTGACTATCTTATGTTATTAAGATAGTCAAAAATAATTATGAGGAATTCAAAACAACTTTTGCTATGCTAAAACATAGTAGTTTCAATGATATAAATGACAATGTATTTAAAAATTCATGCAAGGTTTTTTAAAACTCAGGATGGAAGATAAGAATAGTTTGATCAAATAAAATTAGAATTAAAAAACAACTTTTTAGTTCGACTAACTTTAGCTCAACTCAAATTATATTTATTTTAAAAAATCTACTGTAGAAGATTAAATAAGCCAATACGTTATTAAAACATGCTCAAGCACAATAGCAGATCCGCTTGCCATTATTTTCCAAATGTCAACGAATAAAGCAATTCTACCAAAAGCATGGTATGTTGCCAATCTAACCTTATTGTATAAAAACGAATCTAGGATTGACTCAACAAACTACAGACCAACTTGAATTACTTCTTTATTTTCTAAAACTATGGAAAAAATAGTTAAAGATAAAGTTATGCATCACTTATTATCTAACGATCTTCTCTCCCTATATCAACACGGATTTGTCAGCAAAAAGTCCTGTTTTACAAATATAATTTAAACTATGGATTTTTTGACCTACACTGCCTCATAAAACTACCTGTTGATGCATTAATTTTTGATATTGTAAAAGCATTTGACAAAATCCTCACAAAAGATTACTAATAAAGTTTAAATCGTATGAGATTAAAGACAATGTCTTAAATTGGATTAGTGCCTTTCTTTCCATCAGAACACAACGTGTCATCCTTGGAAATGTTGCATCCGACAAGATTACTAGCGTTGTTCCTCTGGGCTCAGTTCTTGGTCAAACCCTTTTATAGTCTATATTAATGATTTACCAGAACACATTAGCAGTAAAAATAACTGCAATATGTATGCAGATGACACAAAGGTCCTCGTGACCCACAGAGGACCAGAGAGACCGCCAGGTTTTATGTCGTGTCAATTAAACGGAATTTTTTTTATTTATTAGTATTTATTTTATAGTAATAGAAAAAGTTGTTTTTAAAATCTAAACCAAGTGCTAAGGGTCCCAAATGGTGCAAAAGGGAAGATTGAGGGGCCCCAAACCCAATTAAGATTTTTTTTTAAAAAAAAATTTTTTTTTTTCTCTTACTGAATTTATTTTAGAAGTTTAGATTTGCAAAACTATTTAAAATTTATTTTCTTTCATTAGTCAGGTACAGTGCCCCCAGGACCTAATAAAAAAATATAAAATTCTTATTTTTTTATTTATTTATCAATCTTTATTTTTTAATTTAAATGAATTAAATAGAATTTAAAACAAGAAAATGACTAATATTTACAAATACTACTGACATATGGAACATAAAGCACCTAAACATTACTAACTCTTCTTCCGTTAAAATCAATAACAGAAGAGAGGAGTATTCCGCCATATTCTTGTGTTTGCAATTTGTCATTTGAATCTGTTCCACATTGGTTTGATTTTTGAGTGAACTGATTTTCCACATTGCTCAGCAAACTTAGACAAACCACAAGTTTGGTGTTCAACAAAAGGTTGTACATGACACAAAGGTTGCACATGACACAAGAGTAACTAATTAATAACTAATTAAAAGTTTTTTTACCAAGTATTATTTCTTGAAAAGATAAAAAGGAGTTCTTAAATTTTAGAATGGCTTGCTGATACCCAAGCTCAAGTGTTCTACTAAAGCAAGAATCTTTTACAATCTTAAAACTTTTTTAAATATTGAAAAATTGGCAGAAGATCAAGATATTCATACAAAACAACTCTTTTCAACTCATCAAAACACTTTAGTATCTGGTTTAAATTATTCTCATCCCAACCTCTACCTTGATATCCTCTTTGTCGAACACCACTATTTTTCAAAAAAAATATCAAAACCTGGCCAAAGATCCAATAATAAACACCCCAGTGTTGTTACTATTCCTATGAGGATATGTAATTCAGGGGAAGGTACTAAATGTTGGATTAGTGTATCTGGATCATATGTGTATCGTCGAGTTAGAGAATTCTTGAATATATAACGTTCATAAAATGTTTCATATTAAGTTTCTTTGAACTATTTTCTACAGTGTATCTTTGATACCAATAGTCAAGGATTCCAAGTGTTTGCAGTTTACCACAAACTTCACTTGAGTCTCCTTCACACCAAAGACAAGCTTTTTTACCTGCATGGCTTGATATTCCAAAAACTGCATTAGCACATTTCAAATCAAAAGCTGCTGAAAACTTAATATCTTGTAAATTGAGTTTCTCTAAAATTATTCATAAATTGAAGTTAGATTCTTGCACATTTTTAACTATGGAGAGGATTTGACATCGTTGTACACCACTATTTAAGTATAAATTTGAAGTAGTATTTTGATTAACATCAAAAACATTTCATTGACCTTCATGAAACCACCTCCTCCATCCTTAGAAGTACGAACAAATGCTGACTGGAGATCAAGACAACGTTGAATAATTAAATCAAGAATAAAACTAGATGTGTCTTGAACAAAAACAAGGTCTTTTATAGACGTGCCACCAGTACTATCAAAGAAGTTGACCTGAAAAATAGCAATAAATTTTTGAAAAACTTTTAATGCTATTATTAATTTTCAATATTAAAAAATATATAAGTGCCACCTTTTCTATTTGATAAAAATGCGATAAAGACTCTTCTAAGTCACTCATTTTTCCAAAAATGTTGTTTTCTACAGCCAACTTACTTCCCATTCCTTTTCGAAGAGTAGATATCAATAGCCCCGTTTTTTTAAGTGAAAGTTCTAACACTATTTGAAGTTCTTTAATCATCTGAAGAGATACTTGTTTAACTGACCTAGGTATAAATGAAGAAAATATTATTATTTTATCATTTGATAAATATGTACTCAACAGTATATATGTACCTTCTCCTTGCTTTGTTATCAGGACATCCAACTGTAATCATCATTTGGTTTCCGCCAGAAGACAAAATAAATTGTTCCCCATTCGCAATATCGTCAGTATCAATTTTTGCTTTTATTATACCAGATGCAACTTGCTCTGCTTGCAAATTTCCTAGACTTAATGCTAATAAGATCAGGTTTTCAACTGCAGATAAAGAAAAGCAGTAGTGTAAATATCCTTTTGCAAAAGTTGAAAAACATATACTACATACTTTGTAAATATTTACATACTTTGGCAATGTTTTCTCCCCATGAACCTCGATGAGGTTTTCCAGCCTTTAGTTTTATGCCGTCAAAATAATTTGAGGTGTATGTTTTTCCATTGTTCATCCGATTACTTTAATACTATAACTTTTTATTTTTTTTATTGCAAAAAGTAGAACCACAGCTTTACAATTGTGTTAAAAAGATTTTTTTGAGATTTTTATTTGTAGAGATAATTTGATTTAAAAATTAAGGTCATTTTATAATCTAAATATTTTTGAAAGTATTTGATGTTTTTTTTGATTTAACGACAAAATCAGTTATAGCATTGTATTACCCTAATAGTGTGCATAATTTTGAATGGTGAGCGTTGATCACACCAAAAATATGCCTCCCACTAAAAAGTTAAAAAAAAAAACTCATATTTTTTTCGTTTAGTACTCGTCAATTTTCAAGACTTAACTTTTTATAAGAAAACATACGGAAATTTAATTTTTTAAAGTTTTCAGAAGATGGTAAAAACAATTCAGGACATCAATATTCTCTTAAAAAGTTTTAAAGATAAGCAATATACAAATGGATATGTGTAGAACATCTTCACTGAAAAAAACAAGGATCTATCAAAAACTATTACAGAACTTTATCTTGTTCGCTTCTCACCTTCAACTTACCAACTGTTTACTTAGAACTTCGGTTGTTCGTTTAAATAACTCGTTAAGGTTTTGAAAAAAAAAGTAAATGCATACAGGCCAAAAATAGAAAAAAACTTTATCAAGATTTCAAATTTCCACAGCCACGACTATCTACTGTTCATGATATAATTCCACCTGAAAATACAAATATCAACTGTCCTCAAAATTATTATTCGCAATTAAAAATAGAAACCATGATTGTTTAAATAAGAAATAAGAAGAGCTGAAAAATGTAAAAAACTCAAGTTGGCATGGTTATTAAAAAAAAAAGAGATTTTAATCAATAAAAAATTATGTAAAACAACTATAACAAATCAACTTCGAAATAAATGTAGAATTTTAAAATATAAAAAAGACTTTATTAATCTCCAAAAAGAAAAAAAACTAATAAAAAAAACTTAA